AATTTGCATTTCTTATTATTCCTAACTTATTGTATTAGTCTGTGATGTAACGCTTTACAATCCTTTAAAAGTGAGAATCATCCAGTCTGCAGCTCTGTTGCATTTTCCAATGTGAGGTCTGTATGAAGTTCCAAGAAACCTTGTCTGAATCAATGTATACATACACATTTTTATTTTTATTTTATATGATATGATATGATATGATATACAGATCTGAATACAGATCCAGAAACTTGTACACCACATAAAAAACATCGCCTTCAGAAAATCGGCAAGCCCAGTTGGTGGCGAAGAGAAGGAATTTCACTTCACAAATTTGCAACACATTCGGTTTCGATAAGGTCAGGAATGAAAGAAAAATATATATTTTTTAAATATGTTATAATTTTTACACATAGAGCCGTGGGCTTTGTAGAACCCAAATACTAAAGTAAAACCAATTTCAACAAAACACAAGGGGTTAGGATTTCAAATCAGCACCTACTCACAACATCTACTAAAGGACGTTATTACTTTCATACTGCAAATGCAACTTATTATTTATTGTGGTAGATTTGCTTCCTCAAGCATGTTTTAAATCTCTGTCAGCTGATTCTCATACTGTCCTGGATGAAACCAGTGGCTTACTGTAAGGTCAGATATCAGTCTCACTGAGGTCGATGAAATACTCATGTTTAATCACATGTGTAGACTTACGTGCTTATCCAGGAAAATGAGGAAGATAGACATAGAAAATGTCAAGGGGTAAGTCACCCTTTACCTTAAATGTCTCTTATTCCTAGTCTGACCTCTGCTACTACTTCTGCTGCTGCTGGCTGTTTGTGGAAAGCTGATGTTACTGTTGCACATTCATACAGTGGCTTACATATATGTACAGAGACCTGCATATCTTCACACCATCAGTATGACAAATATGCAGTGATATTTCCCATGAAGCATTACTGTCTTCTTTACCACTTCACTTTTCTTCACTCTGGCTCACTAAGACTCAACTATAGTTTTTATAAGCTCAGCGTAAGCCACTGTGTCTCATCACGAACAAACGATTTTGCTCTCAACACACAAACCAATAAGACCTGTTTCAGTGGCTTATATATATCCTGTAGGCAGTCAGTGATGAGCTGATAACTGCATAAATAACGTAAATGAAAGGAGATATGACTGCATTATCTGATAGCGTGCATTGATAAAGTGCCACAGAGATACTGTAGACCAAGTTTATACTTAGTGTATACTTTCATTCAGGAAGTGCAAAAATAGTCAAATGTAGGCTCTTTGAACTGAACAGCAGCTCAACATCCGGGTTGCTTACCCTCTTCTTGAGTTCGGCTGGAAACGTTTGTGCTCCACTGACTCCACAGGCCGGTGCTGAATTTGGATCTGGCTCTGAAATGGTACAACCTGTACGGCTCCAGAGAGGAGATGACTTGTTCCAAACTCGTCTGCACACCCTGTGAGTCAAAATACATGAACTTTTCATCTTATTTTCATTTAAATTCACTCATCCATGTCCCCCACTCACAGATCAACAAAGATTTCTGACATTTATGATCACACCTGATAGAGCATAAAAGGTCAAATTTCAACTTGTTTCTGAGACTTGACATCATGACAGCACTTGACTCTGTGCACATCAATTTGACATTCACATCTGTCTTTGGCTTTGAATCAGCAGATCTTGCAGTGACTGTGTGTGTTCAAAGGGTTTATGTAACGTTCTGCAACATCTCATTGAAAGTCCCTACATCTGAACAGTTAAGACTTCTTACTGAGTCTAGATATGATGTCCACGTCTGTGCCTCTGCTCTGTATTGGATCTCCAGGCGTTGAGTCCTCACAGACTGCTGCACTTTGATGACGCACTCTCGGGAGGAGCACTCGGGTTGGACAAGAACAGGAGTCGATGGCATTGCTGCTCAGATAAATTAAAAACAAAAGTCTTGAGCAACTATCACCAGACACCATGTTTCCTTTGCAGTGATTAAAACGAAGATGGAGGGAGATTATCGACTATCTTACACTTCATAGTTAGAGCATAAAGGAAGGACACCTTTAACTGTAAAAGTGGTTTCTAGTTCCAGTCACAATATCATTGTGATTTCATGCCTTACAGATAACTGAGAACTGTTATTACACATCAAACATAACACACTCTCTATGCAGAAGTTGCCAAGCACCTCACAAACACACCAAACACTCACTGCTACTGTCTTACCAATGTCACTGAGGGTGTAGTTGAATGTCATGGACATTGCATTGCCCAGTGGATTTTGGACTTGGACCCACACAGAGATCAGCTGGACAGAGCTAGACACGGTGAAACTAGCAGATGGATCAGTTCCCTTACTGGAGACTTTGTATGACACTGGTTCATCTGTGTGGGTTCCAGATCTAGTTCTCACCCTGAAAATACAAAAAGCCAAGTTTCATTTGACAGCTGATACAAGCAATATAATATTGAGTACGACATCTAGTAAATGGCATGTTTTTTTGACCTCTCAATCACTTTTCCTCTTTCAAACTCACCACAGCACTGAACTATTCCAAAGATAAGTGTCTCGTCCTCGTATCCAGTTGCAGAACACAGCCCCTCTTTCATTATTTATGACTTCGTAGGTGCATGAAATGTTTTTAGGACTCTCTGGTTTGTCTGAAGGACAAAGAAGAGGATGAACTCAATGAAGCCTGAGCAGAGAACATAAAGCTAGCAATCATTTGAAAGTGCAGTAAAACATTGCTTGTACATAAGTTGTCATTCCAACACATTACTTTAGGAATAACCAATAAAGAAGTAATATTATCAGTCATCATAGAAAACACAAATATTCTGTTAGTCAGTAAAATGCATAATGTGCTGTTCTCTAATGTTATCGGTTACACTGCATAAACAGATTTCATCTTCTTCAATACTGGATGTGACATTTCAAAAAACTAATATTTGTACTGATAATACTGAGTACATGTATGTTTTATATTAGGGAACTGGCAGGTTGCATGTGTCAGAAAACAAACTTACTCTTACTCCTCAGTTTGTCACAGCTCTGAGGTCAGAATAAGCAACTTATCGCAGTTAGTTTTAACACTTAGCTGCGTTCAGCCCACAACATGAGAACACTGTTTACTCTAAGTATAGAAGAGAAAGCAGAACCATGCTTTTTTTAAACAGTTCTTAGCTTGTAGCTTAAAAAGTTACAGTCATCATGTCTTAGGCTCAGGATATGAGAAAGTCTCATTTTAAAACATCTGTAAAACATCCTGCAGAATCCTGTCCTGCTCTTTCACACTCACATCCAGCATAGATGTCCAGTCCACAGGGGTCCAGAGCAGTGCAGTCACACTGGCAGCTGTATGTTCGGTTCGTAGTTATGTTTCCCACTTTGAAATACATAGTTGTAGAATTAAATTCAAAGCATTCCTGTTGTATGGGTGGATAGCAGCTCATGGATCCCTTGCACTTGCAGTTAAAGGTGCAGTACACCTCAAAACTGGAGCCTAGTGTCACCACAGGTCCAGCACTGGACCAGATGACACAGGATTTCTCACCTAAAAGTAAAAATGATGATTATCGACATGAAAATGGAGAAGATGAGATACAATACACGTGCAGATGCACAATTTAGAAAACATAATTATATATATATATATATATATATATATGTTTATATATAATTGATTGAAATATTCGTAATAACTACAACAACATTCGAGTAAGAGTCATAGAGAGCCTTTTCCTGTGCATCCACAGGATATTATCTCCAAATAATAAATGAATAATCAAGAACAAAAAGCATTGCTATGTATCTTACATTCCTCCAGAAATATCAGAAACACAGCGTGTGTCCCTGCAGTAGTTAGAGCTTACCTATGCAAAGCTGCACGGCCAGCACAGTGACAGCAATAAAGATGAACCATGTTTGGGACATTGTCGCCATGAATCATCAGTAATCTGCCTCCTTATGTCTCTTAAATCGCCGCAGGAACTGCTAGTTTACCTTAAAAAGTACACAGAAGCAATGAGGTCAACCATGTTCTTTAGATACAGCGATTTCAAAGGTAGACCTATTTATCGAGAAATAATGATACTGATCAAAGTTTTATTTCTGAGAAAACACTCCTACTATAATACAGTGTTTCATATGAAAACATGTACATTGTAAGCAGAGCCATGGCGCTGTGCTGTGTTGTTTAAGTGCAGCTGCGTACAGTCAATAATGACGGTTAATAAAAACAGGAAAAACAAACATACTCACCAAGATATAACATCCCAGCATTATGTTAAGCTTTAATAACTTCTGACGCTTTTGAAGCTCAGTCTGTCATCATGAGTCCTCCTCAACATTGTTATTCAGAGCACTGTATCCACACTGTGGGGAGGTGGCAGCGGAGACTCCGTGTTGACTGATTGCCGCCTCTGGTGTGAGGAGGTGACAAAGTTCAGTCGCACACTAAGCCACACTTAAAACAGTGAAGCCAGACCATTGGCAGTATATATAGAGCCAGACTCACACAGACTGTGCAGATACAGGCTACTGATCATACAATCACAATAGTATTACCAGTAATAGTCCAGACACTTAGGAAGTCATGATTGTAATTTCCTTGTAATAGACATAAAAATATCCTGTAGGCCTATTTGTTTTTGTCCCTTTTCAGGGATATGCTGTAGCTTCTGTAAATGCAGGTTTGATCCTTTAGTCTAGACGATAAGACTGATTCCACCTTCAGACATGATGATGAAAAGTCTGCAGGCTGGTGTTCAGATTACATTTTGGGAGTGTGTGGCACCCCTGAACGGAGGAGTTGCAACAGCACAACAAGCCCTCAGATGAAATCACATTTTCCACACAACCCAAAGCCTCTCACTCCGTCAATCATATCTCCATGTGGTGCAGAAGCAGGGGACTTTCCCCTATAGAGGCACCACAGTTCAGCTTCAAGTGTTACACAGAAACATTAGAAAGAGTGACTGGTGTTTTTTTCAAAGAGAATAAAGTCTCCAGAAGCGTCTTACAACTGTCCGTGAAGGAGTGGATCTCCTGAAATTGTATTTCATTGAGGAAGTGAGAAAACTCTCAGGAAGTCCTAAAAAACGGTGTTTAACTGCAGGTGGTGAATGTATGAGTACAACTCAAGGTTCAAGAGCCGGATCTATAACAAGGAAACCCCCAACTGACTTTTTTCTGGGTGTGTTTTGAAATAATTTCACACTCGGCATCACCTCACCGGCTCACCAAACACGATGGCTAACATTAGAAACATACACAGCGGTGACACCCTAATACTTAAATAACAGAAACACTTTCAACAGCTCATGCAGAACAGCTAATTTGACTTGATACTAGCATGCTGCTATCATAGTCTTCATTTTAGCTCCTGGATTCATCAGGAAGACCCCTGCATTAGAAAGTTTAACCACTTAAAAAGAGTGCAGGGCCACCAAACCACAATCCATTCGTTATAACATCTTAAATGAACATTTATAGCTGTAGACGTGATTAATGATTATAGTGAAACTTAGTAATATTTATAACTGCAGACTTGCAAACTTAGGCTTATTATAAAGTGAGAAATGCACAATGCTTTCTACTTAATTTGGTCCAGATCCTCTACAACCTTTGTGTTGTTGTCTTAGCCATGGTAGTATCTTTTTGAGGCTGTACTGAGACATAGTGGTGGTGTATTGAGCTAAATGCTAACACCAGGCCAGCATGCTAACATGCTCACTGATCATGACAGTTAATTATGTTGACAACTTAGTTTAACCTGTTAACATTTTCTAATTAGTGTTCCATAAGTACAACTGAGGCCGATGGGAATTTCATTAGTTTGGGTAATATGAATATATTAATATAGTGTAATGTAATATAAACCAAAGTATTGGACAATCCTGAGAGAAACATAAGTGTGTACCAGTTTTAATGGCAATCCATCCAATAGTGGAAGAGATATTTTATTTAAAACCACAAATGTATAAATGAGGAGATAATTAGATCATTAGGATACATCTCTGGGAAACATGAATGTCTGCACCACATTGTGTGCTTATCCATCCAGTAGATGTTGAGATATTTCACTGGGTGTGTGAAAACTTTAAAAGGCTGGTGGTGCTAAATGGAAATATAGGGGATCATCAAAGTCAGCAGGGTTCGTCTTCTGAGGAAGATGAATACCTGAAAACAAAATGAACAATGTTTCATGGCAATCCATCAAATAGTTGTTGAAATAATTCAGTCAGGACCAAAGTGGTGGGTTGACAAGCTGACAGGAGGCCGTTCTACTGCAGGTGGATTAATACAAATGACCTGACTCTCTCTGTATGAATTACTGATATTTAAAGGACCAGTGTGTAGGATTTAGCTTGCTTCAGCCTCCCTTTCCAAGTGCAAAGGAGAAACTACGGAGGTCCCGAAACGTGCAAAAAACATGATTGCCCCCTATCTAGAGCCCATGTTTGGTTTGTCCCTTCTGGGCTACTGTAGAAACATGGCGGTTCAACATAGCGGACTCCATGGAAGGCGACCCAGAGTGTCTGTAGATAAAAAGGGCTCATTCTAAGGTATCACAAAGATGCCGATATTCAAGTGATGATACATACATATTATATTCATACATTGATTTCTGCCAATAGATCATCCTAAATGTTACACACTGGACCTTCAAAGCATCAGTGGTGATTAAGTTAACTTTGTTAATCATGTCTATATAAAATGTAGTGCCAACATAACTATAGTAAGGAATTGCTACACACGTATAAGAAGTAAAACTTTATTTATTAACTTGGTTTTTAAAAGAGCTGAGTATAGTTCATATGAAGCAATGTTTTCTCTGATTACACAAAGTCAGTGAGGTCGAGTGGTAAACTTGAATAATGCTTTTTTGAAAATCAGTTTAGTAGTGCAGATTGATACCCAACGTCCTTGCTACCTCTGTGTGTCACAGAGTGTAGTGCTGCTGACAACAGCTACCTGAGGGAAGTAACCATAAGTCAGTGTTGTCTCAAGTGTATCCTGAGTTGTGTCTGCTGTGTCAGGAGTCATTATTTCACCCTGTTGTAAATCCAGAGTGGGACAGTCTGCTTCCACATCGTTCTCAGTCCCCTTCCACCCCAGAAAGAAGCCTCCATTCAAGACACTTGTTGTTTCAGGAGTTGTAGGCCACAAAGGGCTGCTAACAGATCTGAGAGTCAGCCCCAGAGAATCAGAAAAATCCACCTTAACATGGGAAAAAAAGCCTCCAGGTAATCCTCCAAATACATCTGAACACTCATCTTCCTCCTCATGTGTTGGTACGTCCCTCTCCTCTTCTTCTGTCTGCATCCAATCCTGTTCTTGTGCAGCCAGTGTGGCAATCTGGGGTTTGTAGCTGACGACTTCCAGCTGGCTGTCAACAAGCATTGTTTCAGGATCTGACATCAGAGAATGTGTCTCCACTGTGGGTTGTCCTGATCCAACCTGGGATATTTCGACATGGACGTTGGGATAGACGTGGTCCCTTTCCTCCTGGGAGATGAGACTGACGGGGGACAATGGAGGGTCACTGTAGGTGGACGATAACGGCAGGTCACTTTCATCCTGCTGGAGAGCCAAACCATAGTTAGATTTGATTAGTGTGTAGTTAGTGATTAGTGATTCATATATATGTATATATATATATATATAAATATATATATAAAACCTCTGGTGTTCACTTACAGCAGAGTGAAAGCAGGAAGTAACAACTGACATAATTTCCTACTGTAGTGCTGACTGGTAAACTTCTAGAAACTACATTGATTTTGGCATTTTTCAAAATTGTATTAAAATGGTAGCTGATTTCTCTCTTTTAAGAAATATCTTTGAAAGCACATGATTATGCTTGTACTGTTGGTGTAGGTGCAGATGCTGCAGTTGCCAATTGTTGCTGTTTTGGTTTCTGTGGTGACAGCAGTTCACACAACAAGAGGGAAGAATGAATGTAAACACAGTTATCTTCAGTAGCATGCTCGTATTACCTCCAGTAGTCTGATGGCGATACTGTTTCCTGGTTTTGGTAGGTGTTCATTAAACCAGGCCGGTCCCCAGGAGATACATTTCTGTTTGATTCTGAAGTAGAAAAAGACAATTAGGTTTTAAAAGGCTGAGAAGTCCCCCCCCAGTATTGATAATGATAGTTTGTCATTAGATGCAGTTGTGATGCAAAATCTATAGAATTTAGAAGAACACAACAAAAACATTATTTTTCTACTACCGTGTTTCACTATTAGAAGGCCATGTTGTTTAAAGCCCACAATCAGTAGCTAAAACCACATATCAGACTGAGTTGCTTTGACCACAGGGTTTAGGTTTCTTTTAATGTGAATTGTGTGGTTTCTTGTTCATGTGCTCATATTTTCGTGTGGTATTTCATTGAATGAGCCACAGTGGCATCCATCCTGGTTACTAGTAAAACAAAACCCATATGTACATTCAAAATCAGTTGCATGGAGATGGAGAAAGAGATGTGCATCCTCTACTTTCACTATTGTTAGATTATGTCTGGTGTCTGTTATGGTGACTGTTATTTTCCAGGAACCAAAGATATTTAAGCACAAATCATGTTTAATAATACCTTCTCCTCACACAGCTCCAGCACATCAGGTTGGCTATGATTGCTAGAAAGACGGTAATGAAGAAAATAATCCCAAGCACCAGGCCAGCTGGAGGAGATAAGGAGGGGAAGATACAATAGTTTAGTGAGTAGCTGTCAAGAGAGTTAAAATAAACAAAGTTCTCTCTCTTTAATCTTCCCACTTTAAGCTTCCTTGCCTTGTATTAAAATGGAGGTGAATTACAGTTGCAGGCAAATGCTTTCACAGAAAAGGCTTACTAAGCAGATGTCTGTGTTTGTAATGGAGGCATGGGATGGCAGCAGGAGACTGACCTGCAGGGGTTGCAAGCTGAAAATAGATCCGGGTGCCCCGCGGCCCTTCTCCTGCTGAGGTGGATGCGGTCAGCTGCAGAGCCAGAGCTCCTTCAGGACAGTCCAGCCATTTCTGTCTGGACCCAAAGCCAGACACCATCACTGGGGGGAAGCAGTCATGGTTTTCTTTGTTAAGGCAGCACAACTGGTTATTCTAGTTATTTAAGCTTTAAAATAAGCAATCATTAACTAACTGACTTAATTCAGTTGCTACAGTCAGGCAGAATTCAGTAATGTAGAGTTTTGGCCCCATCAATCAATAATGTTGAGATGGGAAGTAAATTCTTAACTTTGGAAACAACATAACATAACATCAAATACTGTTCCCAAGGTCAAGAATTAACTTCCAATCAGGTCCATCAAGTGCTCTGAAAAACAATATTATGCTAACTGGGCATTTCAGTTTGCCCAAGATTGTATGATATGATCTAAAGCTAGAGAACAGCTTCTAAGTCGACCTTCTGATTGTTTTGGTAAAATGGTAAATGGTAAAAGACTAGAAAGGCGCTATCCTTTCTAGTCTTCCGACCACTCAAAGCGCTTTTACACTACATGCCACATTCACCCTTTCACTCAGTGATGGCAAAGCCCATCAAATGGAAACTAACCATGGTCATAGCCACCCATTCCACACAGCCCCGTGCAGCAACATTCGAACAACAATTCAGGGGGTTAAAAGACGCATCCTTGCTCCAAGGTATTCGACTGTGCAGGAGGAGCTGGGGATCAAAACAACAACCTTCCGATTAGTGGACGACCCGCTCTTCCTCTGAGCCACAGCCAGACCTGAGTTTAACTTTCCACATGCTTCAGTTTGCAGGAGAGCCAAAGAGTACATCGATAAAGGTTCATTTGTATGTTTTTGCCAGTGTGGTGCAATTGCAACCTCTAGACTACAACCTGTTTCTGGCAATCAGTTATGTTTTGGGATGTAACGGAATGAGAAAAAGATATACATATTCAACAGACTTAAAACTTAAGACTTAAAAAAAGCTGCAGTGTACACACAAGTTGTTACCTAAGGAAGAAGAAAAACTAAGCTCTCAGGTGCCTTTACACTGAAGCTTCAGAAATAGCATATGAAGCAGGTTAGTTAGTAACAACCTTATGGTTGCATGTGTCACAAAGCCACATGGCTTCCTGTTTGTGGTCAAAGCTAGTTCTAGAAAACTCTATGATTCACTGAAGACACTGTGAAAAAGATGACAACCAGTCTCTAAAACATCAGTTTGCTCAGTGAACACCTGCAACCCTCAGTTATACGTTGAGAACTTTGTGAAATACATATTCAGACAGACAATCAGACAGGTTTGACGCAACAAGAGGTTTATATAACTCTAAGTCAGGCTTTCTGAGCCAAAACTAACAAATGTTATTGGTGCTGTCTTTTCTTAATCAGACATCTGTCCACTGGCTATATTGTCATTGTCAAGTTTTTCTAAAAATATAAAACAAGCAACCATCAGTTTAACGTTTGAATCTCACCACATTACTGGAAGTGAACGGTAAAAAACCCTGCTGATGCACTGAAGGCTTGTGGGAGGGGAGTATCACTGGAATGCTGGTTGCACACTTTCCATTATGTAACAGTGTTTTGTGCTGAAACACCATATATGCATACTACTGCATATATAATTTCCCACACGTGTGCATACACCAAGGTAAGGTACACACAGACATAAAACATATGGTTACATGAGCGCCGTAAAGAGTCGTCTTGATGTACAAGAACAGGAAGCGCGTTGTGTTTCCTCCATACCTTCAGAACAAACCAAAGTGTAATTCTATTTGACAAAGAATATGTTTGACAAACATATTTTCTAACTTACCCCCAGTGGTATCCCGCCAGGCAAATAGGTTTTAAAATATCTGACTCTGTCTGACCAGCCAGTTCTTACAAATTTAAAACCTTGAACGAGGGAATGTCATAATTTTTGCTAGAAAAAATAACTTTCAAATAAATGATGATCAAAATAGCTCCTGATTAATTTTATGTTGACGGACTAGTCTATTAAACAATTAATTGTTTCAGCTATATTCACATTATGTGAACACTCACTACTGAGTTCCTCGTTGCCTGAGTCCAACATCTGGAGGTAGATAGTGTAGTTTGTGATGAAGCCTCTCTGGTGATTTACAGGAAGTTCGTCCCACTGGATCAGGATTCTTCTGGCCTCATGAACCAGTACTGATAAGTTGGGACCAGAAACTGGCTCTGAAACACATAAAATGAGACAGAGAGAGAGAATGATGCTGTATACCATGTATTGTCTGAATCCCTCATATAGGTATGCAAAATCTACCACATTATGAACTTAGTTGTTGAAAATTGCAAGAAGAAACTGTTTTTTTGGGACATGTGGAATCTATGAATCTTACTCTGTTCTTTGGAGTAGACCAGACCGGATGATGGAGCACTAACACCTCTGGTGGTCACAGCATACAGAGAGATATTGTACCTCACACCTGCAGTCAGACCTGAAACAATACAGAAACACTCTCACCATGAACTCCCTTGTATTTCACAAATATTACACTTTCTGCTAATAAACTTTGTCTTCAGCTGCATTAAGATAATCATTTTAATTGGAAATCCTTAACAGTTATTGAAATAAAAAAAAACTTGTGTAATTCAGCAACTGCCCACAAGAGGTCATTGTTTGACCCTCAGTTTAAGCCCCTGTGTCTTCACTTCCAAATGTTTTGTTGTTTTTCTAATATATTGCAATACCAAGTTTTGTTTTATTCTACCGTGTGTGTGTGTGTGTGTGTGTGCGCGCACGCCGACAAGATCTTTGTGCCTAAATGGTAAGTTAAATGGTAAATAACATGGTTCTGTACCTGTGATGGATGTATTGTTTTGATCTTTAGGCAGTTTTTGCCAGTGCAGTTCTGCCACAGATACACTCGTCCATTCTAACACATAGTGCAGCACTTCTCCTCCAGTTGACAAGTGTTTGCTTCCCGGCCACGACCAGGAGACCAACACAGCACTGCCATTAGCTGCAGGAGCCAACTCTCTCAAAATGGGTTCAAAATCGCCTAAACAGTTGGACACCAAGAAAGGATTACAATTTACTGGACATTCTTCTTCTTTTCTTCTTCACAATTTAAACATGTTTTGCTACGCTTTGTCGTCTGTGTGTAATATTTGTGTACCTGAATGTTTGAGTGGCACAGCCGCTGGTGGAGATGCCCCATACAAGGTGACAGCACTGATGCTTAGTGCCTGGACCTCTGCTGGTACCTTAACCAAACAGTGGTTTAAAGCAGCACTACAGGTCATATGCTGTTTATTACCCAGAAAGGTCTGGTACTGTTGCACCTCGCCACTGTGATCCTCTGGCGATGGAGGCTGGGGAAGAAGTCCATTCATAATGGTTTACTTTCAAAATTATTATATTTTGACAGTTTGGGAATTTGGGATTTGCTGTCTTGCCAGGAGTTAGGTGAAAGGTGGAATTTACCCAGATGGTTATCTTAACTTAGCAAAAAGACGGGGACCAGGGGACACAGCTAGCCTCACTCAGTTTAAAGGTAACAAAATGCACCTACCAGTACCTCTAAAGCTCACTAATTAATATGGAATATCTCATATTTTTCAGTGTAAGTGTAAAAAGAACTGGTTGTGGCTTATCGGAGGTTTCTGTGACTAATTCTTGACTGGGCGCAGTCCAAGAGAAAGTTAGTTTTACCATACAGACATTAAAGTGGTAAAAAAAAACATCTAAATCTCCGCACCAAACTGTTCCTTCAATCAACGAATAATAGTAGTAGTCAGTCAGTTTCGTCAACTGAAATACATCCACACAGCAGGTTAATCCATTAAGGGCGTAAAACAATGATCAAATGCAGACCTCTTTTTTTTGGTAACAACTTAATTAATTTACTATAATGTTAGAGCCAAATTCGGTTGGGCAAACTGTTCTTTGACGTGCAGTGAAAATGTTTTTTTTTGTAAGGTTAAACACCAGCAAATATGGATTGAAGCAAAACATTTTGTTACACAATGTTTTTGTTGACACAATTTGAATATCAACGTTATGGATGAAGCTATTCAGTACAGCCCTAACGAGGAGTGCAAGCTTTCCGTATGAATGTCATGAAAATAATCTATTTTTTGCATTTGCTGTAGCTTTGTATCACAAAATGGGAAGTATCAATATCTAATGAATAGCTTTGACACATTACCTTCCACAAAACTGTCACCATCTGCTCCCCATTGGTCCCCTGGCTGCCTAATATCCTCCACACATGCAACTGCTGAGATGGACCTAACAATAAGCATAACCACAAGTTGTGAGTGACGACAAACTCTCTCATTATCACAATCAGATTGCCTTCTCTGTTACATAATGAATAAGAACTGTGAGCTTGCCTTTCCCAGGGCTTTCCCCCCTCACAGATGGGCTCCATTTGCTGCAGAACAACCTTTTGCTGGTGGATGACCTGGGCATGAAGCTGGTATGTGTCAGTCCTGATGTTGACCTACATGTTCTCATCTGGAACTCATATTCAGTCAGAGGCTTCAGGCCGTCCACTTGTATCAGACCCTCACTGAGCTCTGTTCCCTCTCCCGATTTCTAAAAGACATCAAGAGATTAGGTCTCCTGATTAAACTGCAAATACTCACAAAGCTATCATAACATCACTTTACCCAGGAGCTGTGATGTGTGCGGAGCCTGACGTAGGATCTGAGACGTTCTGAGTATTCAGTGGTTTTCCATTGCAATGTGGCTGCTGTGGAGTTACTCACAAACTTTATCTGCACAATATGAGGGGTCTCTGGTATCACTGCAATACAAAAAACCATGGAAGTAGCGTGCAGCAGCCAAATAACAAAATAACAACGGATGTTAAAACTTAAAAAAGTGAAATGAAACAGCGACACAGTTTGCTGATAGCAAACTAGTCATATTAGTCAACTAGAACAACTATCTAAACATGAATGTTCACAGGATGACTCATTTCAAAAGAAAATACTTCAGTTCAGATTTTTTAAATATATATTTATAAAAGAAAATATGTTTATGTAGACACACAGTCATTTATAAAGATATCAGATAAGGGAACTTACCTATATCTTTTACACAGAGGATGACTGGATCAGACTCTGAGACTCCAAAGTGGTTGTAGGCCGTGATATTTAACTGGTATTTAGTGTTTTCATCCATCATTGCTCGTGGTATGGTGATTTCTTTAGCACCTTTGATTGGATCTAGCAGTATCTGGGTCCCATTTTCTCTAATAATAGAACATGTGTTATAAATAAGAGAGAATACAAAGCAACAGCTTAATTTGACCTAAGAATAACACCATACCTGTAGATTGAAATGTTGTAGACAGTAGGGAGGTGCGTTTCCTTTCCTCTTTCCCAAGAGCAGTTTATAAAATCTGAGCTCCTTGACGTTTCACAGATAATATTTTTAGGTTTATCTGGAGGGACTTTAAGAGAGAGAGGAGAAAGAAAACAATATTGAAAAATAACAATATTTTTGTATGTCTTTCCTATTTTTTCTGGCACATCACTGCTCACTGACAAAAAAGTGTGCTAAAGCTAAAATAAATTCTACTGCTTGTTAAAAAAAAGAAAAGACAGAAAGGTCTTTCAAACTTTAAAGAGGTCACACTGCTTGGACCTTTTCGTTAGCTCTGTTTTATGCTTTTTCTGACTGTTCATGTATATATCCCGCTATGCCCATATCAGTGCTAAAATATAGGCAATACCAAAGTTGCAACTACAATTGTTTCAGTGCTTCCACAGCGAAAGCCACAAATGCAGAGCCAGCTCTGTCTATCTGTGACAACAGATAGACAGAGAAATAGCAGAAATGGCCCGGCTACCATGCAGAAACTTCATAGCGAACACCTCAAAAACCACCTACCATTTCTAATAACTGCTTAGTAGTCACCCAGAACACCCTAGCAGCTACCTAGTAACACCAGTAACATCTTAGCGACCAAGTAGAAACCCCTTAACACCCTCCTAAGCGCAACTGCCCTAAACACCTTAGCAATCATTTTAGCAGCCACCTAAGACCTGACTAATCAAATCTGTAGCAATGAGGTAAGTTTTAAAGTTGTATTATATTTATGTTTGGACAAAAATGATTTCAGAAAATATTGCCTTTGTCTCTTTAATTCATGTAATCCTAATTTTATATGACTGTAGACATCAGAGCCAACTGTACATACGACCGCCTTGTAGGTCCAGTCCACTGACAACATCATCATCATCATCATTATCACTCTGGAGCATGCAGTACACTATAGATTGTGGTGTCCGGAACTTGAACAAATTGAAAATCGTCATGGTGCAGTTTACTTTCTTCCCAGGAGCCACAGTCTCAGAATTCAGCTCCAGGTATATTTTAGACCTGGAAGACAGTAATATAACGGGATCTGAACAAAACAGTTCACAGAGTAATATTTTTAACCTATCTCCAAACTTTAGACATAAATATAGGCACAGAAGACATGTGTCTTCATATATTCATGTCATATTGTATCATATTATATTCATAATATTTCTACTATTCCTACCTCTCACATTTTGTGAGGTGGCAGTACACGGTCAGGTTTGAGCCTATGAGGAAGAGTGGAGCTGGCTCTACTGTCAGGTAGCCAAGGTTATTGAAGTGTAGGCAGTCAGCAGGGAGCAGAGGGCAGCCTGTCCAGAAAAAACAGACGCACAGGTTTACATAGAAGTCTAGATACATAGAAAACTATCCCCTCTCCTCCAATTGTTATTGTCAATATCCATTGCTGGCTTTTTAATAACACGTGCCAAGAAAGCTTTGAGACAAAAATGTTCATCTTTCCATGAATATTTGAATTTTATACGCAAAAATCTAAACAGTTTTTACTTCACTTCTGCAGTGAAAGTTTCCAGAGCAAGGTTTAGAGCTTGAAACAACAAATGCAACCAAACTGCGATACAGTACATAGATAGATAGATAGAAATAGATAAGATAGATATTGATAAGATATGATATCAGAATAGATAGATATGATAGAATATAGATATGATATAGATAGATAAGATAAGATAGATGATAGAGATAATAGAATTGGATTAGATATGATAGATAGATAGAAGATTAGATAGATAGATAGAAATACTTACGCTTTATGGAATAACTTAGAAATATTATAATGAATCTCCAAATGGTTGAGTGGAGATTCATCTTTTTTAATCTCTTAGAACCCACTCAGCATGACTCGGTAGCTGTGGAGAAAAGTTATTCTTATTATAAATCAGCAAATATTTCTTTCTAAAGAATCACTTAATGGGAATTTCCGTACATAAAGTTAACTTCAAAATGTACCTCAGCCAACCGTGTCAGGAGATTTGCTGGCTTACATGGAGATGGAACATAATTTTGTTGAACTTTCGTAGCTGATAACATATACAGAAGAAGGCAGCTCCAGTCATAGTTGCTGTGACACATGCACCATTGCAGATAAGAGAAAAAACATTTCTGTCACTGCGTTACAATTGAAATTAACTTAAATTAGATTCATTTCATCAAATCTGATCATTTGATCTTGAAAGAAAATACTAGTTTTCAATCCAGTAGTTAGTTTTTTTTCTTCTTTATCAAAGAACCTAAAAACTACCAAGTTACGTTAGTAGATATGTTTAGATAAAGCTCACCATAATTTCATGCCGCCTGCGTGCCTTTCTAATCCCTTTAAGGTTTTCTTATCAAGACGCAATCCAACAAGTTTTTAGCTATAGTTACATCTTCCTCAGACTTACTTTGAGAGATGTATCTGACTCAAGTGATCTCTGTTGCGCGAATGAAACAACTTAAAGAGGCCACTGACCTACTTTAGTGGTATTTGCAGAAACTTTGAACATTAGCTTCAGTACTTTGGTGCCCTATTTAAGTAGCCTGTTTTTCATCACCACAAAGGTTCAGTTGAGTTTAGATGTCACCTGCTCTCATTAAACATGCTGCTCTTAGCAGATAGGCACATGAACATGTAACATTCTGCGACATCAATTTTTACTTAGACAAACTTGCTGACCATAACTTCACATCAACCTCATTTTTTTGTTTCCATTGGTCTCGACACTTCTGAGGGTTTTTTTTTTTTACAGTAACTCTAAATGTGCTGATCCAGTGAACAACCAAGCAAGCACAGGTGATTCATCAAAAGCATTCAAGTATAATTCACTGTTCACTGAACTGACTATATCAACATGTTTTGCCTGTTAAGTAGTTAGGTTGGTAAAACAAACTTACACGTATGTATGAATCCACTTCACATGAAAAATCAACCCATTTCTTTTCTCATTTAGCTGGTTGCTTATGTTTATAGTCCCTCAGAGTGCCAGAGTGTCGACTTTGTTGGAAGAAAGCAGAGACTTTCTGAAGATAACCTAGTTAGTTAGAGCAATTTCCTTTCACCGGTTATTTTCCATCTCTAACTTCAAAAGCTTTACTGGGAAAACCCAGAATTTAGAGTGGGTGTATGTTCATATAAAGATAAAAGAGACCTCAGGCTTGAGGTTTGCAAATTTTCAGTATTTACATGTCTTCATACTAAATGTATAAAGTTCAATTTAAATTAAACTGCAACTGTTTTACGTGTAACCTGGGTGGGACCACATTTTGCCTTTAGAACAACCTTAATTCTTTGTGACATTAATTCATCCAGGATCAGGGCAGGATCAGTTTTTTTTAATTATTTTATTCATGTTTTGCACAATGGAGTTGACATTTTGTCTTTTCTTCAGTTGCTAGCTTTAAAAATTATATATAAGTTCATAAAAAGTGTAAACACGTGTATTTAAACATCGTTTCTTTAAAAGATCAAAGTCTAGTCAAGTCACATTATAATTAATAAGTATTTTATGGAAAATATAATAAAGGGCATTGGAAAGAAAAGCTCTGCAGACTTTCAACAAGATGAACAATTCAACTAGTCTCTATCCTAACTGAAATGGAGCAGTGTCTGACCAGGGTAAAAGGTGGCACCCCTATGATGTCTTGGAAAGTATCAAGCAGCTCTGATCTGACCAGAGCTGAGACTATCCTCTACTGGTTCCAGAATTGGGTTAGGTAGGGACAGGCAAGTAATAACAGCACTGGACTCTGAGACCAAGGCCCTCTACACCCAGTGGTCCAGCTTCACCAGCCGGCATGGCCTCCTCCATTGCCACTGGCAGGTCCCCAGGGACCATCATAACGTCTTCCAGCTCCTGGCGCCCCACAAGCTACGGTCCAGGGTCCTCCAGCTTGTCCATGGCTCGTTGGGTGCACCACTTGAGAAAGTTACATGAACAAAGAAAAAAAATATCCCTTTCTTACATTTTTACAGAGAGGTGAACTGTCTACGATACGATGCTACCTGTTCCAATATCTTTTTTATGTAATGTTGTAACCCTGTTTGGTTTTGTTTGTTTTTACTTAGGGAGGGGACGAGTGGTTTTATATCAATGTGAATATTTCAAGTCTTGTTAAAATGTATCTTTGTAAATTGTAAATAAATACATGTCTATAAATTCTTTTATTGTTTTAAGAATTTTATAGTATATTACAGATAACATTATTAGTATAAAATGGTTTATTGAAAACTTCCTCACACTATATAACTAGACTATACTATGTACTATACAACTCAAAATATAAGAAAAGAACAATACAGCAGATATTCTTCCTGTATTATAAGATTAATGTAGTGTAACACAGTGATTCACTGCATCATGAAGCGGTTCAGTTTGGTGGTTTATCGTAGTACAGCACAGAGGCGGTAATGTTGGGGACAGCGAGTAGCTCCTAACTTGAACTCCAGACTGGGCTGCTCTCCAGCCGCTGCTGAGAAAGAAAACCTCTGAAGGAGGGAGGTAAAGAAGAGGAATAACTCTGTCCTGGCCAGCTGCTCCCCGAGACACACACGTTTTCCTGAGGATACACAATACAAGAGGTGAGATGTGTTTATGCGCTTTTTAAGGGATTCACTTAAACCTTATCATATTGCTGCAGCTCAGTCTGAAACAATAAAAGAATACAGTATGGCATGGGCCGTGGCCAATGATATGTATCTTTTTCATTTTCTTATGTGAAGCCTTTGATTTAAACAACTTACATAATAACTGTAACCACTGACTAACCTGCTGAAAAAGGAAGGAAGGCCTCCCTCTTCCTAAATGTGCCATCCTGGTCCAGAAAATGTTGAGGGTTGAAGGAGTGTGGAGTTTCCCACATCGACTCATCATGTAGAACTGAGTCCAGTGTGGGCAGGATCATGGTGCCCTGAGGAAACACCGTTAATGAAAACAGTAATTCAAACATAGCCTTCCTCTTCTCTTAGGGAGATGAACCTACATGAGGTGTATAAGCGAGCGGCGGCTGGATTGGCTATTGACTGGCCTGTGTTGCAAGACGACAAGAGGGAAGAGAGGGATTCGTATAATGGCAAAATCCTGCTCCTTCTCCTCAGGTCTCCACCAGGAAGCTTATGCTGGAGGAAGGATGAATTGCTCCGGTACTGATCAGAGTGAAAGAGCAGCGGCTGTCTGTCTCTTATTCTGACAGCTCCATACTGGCCTAGCAGATGGCGGATGGCAGAGCTGGTTATGCAGAGACTTGGTCTCACAGACGCACAGGCAGATTTTTCACCCACACCCCAAACGTCTCACTCTGGGGTAGGCACGTGAAAGGGTGAATTTAAATGAGGTGGGTCTCCCTTTGAGGGTGATTGAGACTATTCAAAGTGAAAGGGCGCTGTTGGAAAGTGGCGCGTGTTTGAGAGATGGTGCGAGGCTAGAGCCATCATTGCATTTCAGTGCTCTGTTTCGGAGGTGTTATGCTTCTTGCATGATTTACTGGACAATGGTAAAGCATTCTCCACCATTAAAGTTTTTTTGGCTGCAATCTCAGCCTGCCATGTGGGTTTTGGGAATGCAGCGATTGGACAGCATTCTCTGGTAAGGAGGTTTATGAAGGGAGCTCGCCGCTTGAGGCCAGCTTGTAAACCTTTAGTTCCTTCATGGGACTTGCCAACTGTTTTGGAGGCACTCTCAGGGCTGCCTTTCGAGCCATTGGAGTCAGCTGACTTAAAGCTGCTCTCTCTTAAAACTATCAACAAGAACTAACAATACATATATGTTTTTCGTACGTATCTGTTTCAGGTGCCCCGTTTATTTTTACTTTGGCGTGAAATTATACTGCTAGTATTTAGTAATTTTTTATATTGCATTTTATGTGATGCTATGGTTGTTCTTTTATTCGCTTGTGTTGTGTACTGTGTGTGATGCTGGCTGATCAGTCTGCAGGTTTCCGGCGGTTGGGATCAATATATCTCCTCTCTCTCTCTCTCCCCATCGTCTGCTGACATCGTCTCTCATCCATCCTCCATCCATCCGTTTGCTGGCGACTGAAAGTCATTAAATGGTAAGTTTTAAAATGACATGCATTGTTTTAACATCTTGTTTGCAATTTGTTGTGTCCCCCGGTTACAATGGCAAGTGATGTTGGTGCCCTAACCCGGCTGTTTCGCTGCCTAAGGTTAATTGAAGGTCAGCTTATCAGCTACAGGATGCTGGAACTTGTTTGCCGTTTCACCCCACCATCTTTTCTGGGGAGTGGAGAGGGCGGGCTCTAGTTATTTGGTCCTGTCAGGAGCCATTGCGTATCTATTGTGGAGCAGCGACGTAAGGGAATTTTAGGAAGATAACAGCTTTTTGGTATCTTGGGCCCTCTCAAGGGAAAGGCTCGACGTGTCAGCACCTTCACACTGGGTGGTGGAGGGCTATAAGATCCTGGATTATGGAACGCTTGGTGGGCTACAGCCCCTGGAGAGCCTGCACTACAATGTCCACCAGCCAGGGGAATGGCCACCTGCATGGGCCGTACTTCAGCATTTTCGGGTCCGACGCCACCAGCTGATATTTGTGCTGTGTGTGGCATCTTCCACAATTTATCTTGGTTTGTAACCTACTAGATGTAACAGAGCCTCACTGACTGAGCACTCCGCAGTCGCTGAGCCTGTGTGTTCATGCAATCATATATAATAGGGTTGTGCTTAGTAAGTAAAGGAGATCACCCATTCAGAGGATATGGGCAGTGAGGCTGGTTGTTCTTAGTTAGAGTGAGGGTTACGGGGATTCGACAGAGACATGTAGCTGGTTCTCTTCGTGTTGCTCAACAGACCATCTTTGGCATCTTTTCTTATTTCGCGCATTAATGGTTGAGAGACTATATCCGGAGCCAAGTCTTCGCTCGGTGTTTAACCGCAGCCGAGCCCGGTAAAATCAACGCAAGCTCCGTTTCTTTGAAAAGGAACCAGGAGTGAACGGTGGCTACTAATATATACAACAAGTCATGACCCAATACTTTGCACGGACAGTGTGCATAAAAGAGTAGGTTACTGGGTGTGTTCGTTTATATAGAAAGTAAATTAACGCTGAGTTTTACACGTTACATATGGTACCCCATAGTTTTGGGCTGGCAACCCCCTATAGAGCGCGAGTTTAAGACTTGTAATTTATATGAATAATGGGAGCATCGGCGCGAACCAGCAAGACCTGAACAATTCACTGAAGGCGTATCTTGTATGAGGGGGCAATGGAGCAGGTATATAGCAACCCTCGAAGGTCATGATTCAAGAGGTTAGTCTAGGTTCTCTTGTTCTTCTCGTATATGACAGAGACTGTGATATAACTGACGTGTTTATGTAATTGCCACTGATCACAGTATAACAACTTACTGCCTGGTGAGGGAATTGAGTAACCATAGATAAAGTGAGTAAGATGAAAACAATTCAGCTACTTCTCCTCGATTTT